AGGCAGGGTCCTGCCCTGCGCGGAGGGCAGATAATGTCACCTGCAGTGTAAACACACGCCGGTGACCGGGGCTGGCACCGCCTTGTCAGCGATAAAGTCACCTCTGGGGCGGCTCCCGTCACGCCGGGCTGCGCCTCGGGGAGGAGGGGACACCAGGGGACACCAGGGACACACGTGGGTGCGGCTGGGAGCGGTGTCGGTGCGCACACGTGTGCGCGCCCGGGCACCACCTCGGGCCCCGCCGCCTTCTCCCGCAGCGAACCCGCATCGCCCCGGGAGCTGCGGCCCCTTCCAGAGCCGCGGGGACATCTCGGGGGTCCCGTGGCACGGGGACATTCTGGGGGTCCTGTGGCATGGGGACATCTTGGGGCTCCTGTGGGACAGGGACATCTTGGGGGTCCTGTGGCACGGGGACATCTTGGGGGTCCCGTGGGACGGGGACATCTCGGGGCTCCTGTGGGACAGGGACATTCTGGGGGTCCTGTGAGACAGGGATATTTCGGGGCTCCTGTGGGACAGGGACATTTCGGGGGTCCTGTGGCACAGGGATATTTCGGGGGTCCTGTGGGACAGGGACATTCCAGGGATCCCGTGACATGGGGACATTTCAGGGATCCCGTGGGACAGGGACATTTTGGGGCTCCTGTGGCACGGGGACATTCTGAGGGTCCTGTGGCACAGAGACATCTCGGAGGTCCCATGTCACAGGGACATTTCGGGGCTCCTGTGGCACGGGGACATTTCAGGGACATTCCGGGGGTCCTGTGGGACAGGGACATTTCAGGGGTCCCGTGGCACGGGGACATCTTGGGGGTCCTGTGGGACGGGGACATTCCGGGGGTCCCGTGGGACGGGGACATTCTGGGGGTCCTGTGAGACAGGGACATTTCAGGGGTCCCGTGGCACGGGGACATTTCGGGGCTCCTGTCCTGACCCGTGTCCCGGGGGTGGCCGTGGCTGCGCAGATGTTTGGACCCTTCCCGAAGTCCCTGCCCTCATCCTGAGGGATTCTCCCTCCCTTGTGTCCCTCCCGGGGTTTGGGGGGCCGTGGACACCCCGGGGTGGCAGTGGCAGGAGGATGGGCACAGAGGCTGATCCCGCAGAGGGGTTTCGGGAAGGGGAAGGGGAAGGGGAAGGAAGGGCAGCTCGGGCGGTTTCCCCGAAAGGCTGCAGGGGACAGGACGGCGTCACCGAGTGTCACAACAGCCCCTGCCCAGCAGCTGAGCCCGAGGCTTCTCCCCGGATGTGCAGAGGGAACATCTCCAGCTTCCTTTCCCGGCTGTGCCACCTCACAGGGCACCAGGAACGGGACAGAGCCACCCTTGCAGCTGTGACATCCCCACATGGTCCCCAAAAGCCCCAATCCTCCGCTCTCCATGGCGACACCATCCCATGGGGAGCTGCTCTTTGCGATGGTGACACCGAGCGCCACTCGAAGCCTTCATCCTCATCCTCATCCCCACCTGGAGGGGGCTCCATCCTCGGGACAGGAGGGACACCATGTCCCCACTGATGTCCCCACTGATGTCCCCACTGGGAGAGGACACAGCAGCTTCTCCCTCTGAGGCTGCTCCCAGGATCCTTCAGAAGAAGGGAAACCAACTCGGAAAAAGAAAAATAAATTCTGGGAAAAGATCACGGGTTTCTAATTGGGATGTGCAAATATCAATTTAGGCAGACCTTAAATCAATATGAACCAGAACGTTTCCTTTCACCCCTAATCGTTCTTTTGGTTTTTTTCTTTCCCCCAACCAGGTGAGTTTTAATAAGCTAAAATAAAACATCTCCTCTTTCAGTGCAGCCCCAGCATGAGGAATATCAATTAACAGAGCCATCCTCGGCCCTTGGAGTTCACCACAACAGCGCTGGAGCTGCGGCTCGATGGGAATGGGAAGAAAATTACAACCTTTTCAGGGAAACCATTAAGTAAAAATCAGAATTTGTCCATAAGTACCACAGGGGGAGGGGCGCAGCCCAGCTAATGGCTTCTATTTTGAGCAATAAAGTGAATTTTCAGCGCAAAATCGCTGCTTTCTGTTCCTCTCCCAGTGGCCTCACGTCCCCTGAGTCTGGGCCCGGAAAGTCCCTGGGACAGAGAGTCTGGCTCAGCCCCACCACGGGAATCACCCCCTTTTCCACATTTGCCAGCTCAGTGGGCACAGAGTGAGGACTGGGCAGAATCCTTGAACCCTGCAGTTGTTTGGAAGGGACCTCAAAGCCCATCCAGTGCCACACCTGCCATGGCAGGGACACTTCCCACTGTCCCAGGTTCCAGCCTGGCCTTGGGCACTGCCAGGGATGCAGGGGCAGCCACAGCTGCTCTGGGAATCCCAGCCCAGCCAGGAATTCCCAATTCCCAATCTCCCATCCCTCCCTGCCCTCTGGCACTGGGAGCCATTCCCTGTGTCCTGTCCCTGCCTCCCTTGTCCCCAGCCCCTCTCCAGCTCTCCTGGAGCCCCTTCAGGCCCTGAGCTCTCCCTGGATCCTTCCCTTCTCCAGGGGAACATTCCCAGCTCTCCCAGCCTGGCTCCAGAGGGGCTCCAGCCCTGGAGCAGCGCCGGGGCCTCCTCAGGAATTGCTCCCTCGGATGTTGGGATCCAGTGGGGTCTCACCTGGGGGCAGAGGGGACAATCCCCCCTTTCCTGCCGGGAATGAGCTGGGAGAAGGGCAGAGTGCTGAGGAAGGGCAGTGTGTCCCATCCCGGGCCTGTCCAAGGGGAGGATTCCAGGTGCTGATCCCTTTCTTTTGGGATCTCCTGGGAGTGATGGCTCTGTGTGACACCAGGAGCTCGGCCACGTCCCTCCACTAAACCCCTGTCACCCTGGGTCCCCTCGGAGAGGGCACTTTGCAGGGGGAATAAGGACCACAAAGGTTTCCAGGCTTGCTCCTTGCCATTTATTTTTGTTTTTTCTCCAGCACCAGCGTTTCCAGGAGCTGCTCCTGCTCCGAGTGCTTCGTGGAGCTGTGCTCCCACATTACCCCAGCCCTCAGCATCTGCCTGACGGGGGGGCCTTGCTCCACAACTGGGGTCCCAATGGGTCACTCGAGGGACACCAGTGGACATCCCAATGGACACTCAATGTCCATCCTGAGGGGTGCTCTAATGGACACCCCAAGGTCCATTCTGATGGGTATTCCAATGGACACCCCAAGGGATGGACACCCCAATGGACACCCCAATGTCCATCCTGATGGGGGCTCTACTGGATACCCCAAGAGATGGACAGCCCAATAGACACCCCAATATCCATCCCAATGGGTGCTCTACTGGATACCCCAAGAGACAGACACCCCAAAGTCCATCCCGATGGATGCCCCATTGGATACCCCAAGGGATGGACACCCCAAAGTCCATCCCAATGAATTCTCCATTGGATACCCCAAGGGATGGACACCCCAATGGACACCCAATGCCCATCACAATGAACACCCCATTGGATACCCCAAGGGATGGACACCCCAACGGACACCCAATGTCCACCCTGATGGGTGTTCCTGTGGATACCCCAATGGATCCCCCAACATCACCCCGATATACCCCGTGCACTGCAGGGGATTCACAAAGAGCCCCTGCCTGGACAGAGGAAAAGCCCCCCAAAAAAGGCGAAAAGCGGCAAAATGAGGGAATTGGGAAGAGCTGGGAATGGCGGAGGAGGCGGGAAGGTTGCGGGGGCAGCAGCACCGAGGTGACTCCGCTCCGCTCTCGATCCTCTCCGCGTTTTGCGGCGCTCCGGCCGAGCCCCACGTGGGGCAGGGGCGTGGCCCGGCGGCGGCAGCCAATGAGCAGCGCCGGGCGCTGACAGCGCTCGTCACGTCAACAACCGGAACGCGCCCAATTAGCGGCGGGCGGGGGGGGGGGGGGGGCCGGGGCACCCCCGTCCCGCGCCCAGGGGTCAGCGGGGCGCCCGCACCCCCGCGCCGGGGAGCGAGGAGCGGGGCGGCGTTTCGGGGCGCTTTGCCCGTTGCTGTTTGTTATTTAAGCGGCGGCGTTTCATTCTTGTCGAGAGAGCGGCGAGGCGCGGCGTTGCCGCAGAGATCGCGGCGGTGCCGCGGCCCGCCCGGCTCGGCGGTGACAGATTGTTTGAGCTGGAGGAAGCGCCGGCCCGGGCTAATTACGCCGCCATGGCGGGCGGGCGGCGGGCGGGGGCTGCGCGCCGGCGGCCCCGCGTGGCTTTGATTGACAGTGCCGCTCCCCCGGGCCAATAGCGTTGGAGTGGCGGCCCGCTCCGCGCCGTGATTGGCGGAGCCGCGCTGAGCGGCGCGCGGCCCCACGTGGGGCGGAGGCTCCGTCTGACGCGCGGGCGAGCGGCCATTTTGTGCGCTGGGCCGGGCCCGGCCCGCCCGTGGGACCGCCGGTGCTGCGGCCCCGCTCCCCCCGGCCCGCCGGGACCGGGGCTACTCCCGCTCCGCTGCGGCGGCGTGGATTCCCCCCCGGGGGCGCAGCCGGGTGTCCCGCGGGCGCGGCGGGAGGGTCTGACGTTAACGCCATTACCCGTGTTCCTCGTTAAAGCCCCTCAGGCGTGAGGGGAGGCGCGGAGGGGGAGCAGCGCGGCCCTCACGACACATCAAAGGGGCCGCGCGGCCGCCGGGGGAGGCTGGGCGGCCTTGCCACCGCCCGCCGGTGGGGGGAACTCGTACCGAGCGCTTTCCCGGTGCGGAGCGGAGGCGCTCCGCTGCCAAAGCGCCCGTGTTTGTTTTACCGCCCGAACCGGGCCGCCCGAGCGGGGTTACGGCAGCGCCGGGCCCGAGTCACGGCCGGGCCGGGGGGCGCGGGGCGGGGCGGGGCCTGCGCGGGGCGGGGCCCGCGGTGGGCGTGGCTGGCGGCCGCCCCTCCGTCAGACACAAGCTGCCATTGTGACGTTACGCCAGCGCCGCCCAATCAGCACCCGCCGGCGGCGGCCCCACGTGGGCGCGGCGCTCTCCGATTGGCTGTCGGCGGCGAGGCCGCCCGGGTTTTGTCCCCCGCCCGCCGCCCCGCTCCGCCCGGGCGCTGTGGCGGCACCGCGTGCTCGGGCGCCGCTGCCCCGCTCCGCGCCCGCTCCGCGATGGCTCCCGGAGTTACGGCGATCCCGGCTGGACGCAGCTGAACGGCCGCCCCCGGGCGGGGGACCCGCTCGCACCTCGCATGTCCGCGGCGCCCGGGAAGTCGGATGTGTACGGCCTTCCTCCCCCTCCTCCTCTCCTCCATGGCCGTCGTGCTCCGGCGTTAGTTCCTGGCTTTGCTTCCCCTTCTCCCGGCCGCAGGAATACCGCGGGACCCTCCTCCCGCCGCCGCGTTGTTGTTGTTGTCGCTGTGGCTTTTTGATCTATTTTTTTTTCCTTTTTTTTTTTTTCCGGGGAGGGGGGGGATTGATTTTTCTCTTTTTTTTTTTTTTTTTTTTTTTAATTTTCCGCCAGCGAGTGCCGGAAGGAGGGGGGGGGGGTGAGGAAGCGGAGGCCCGCGGAGCGCGGCGGCCGGGGGGGTCGGCACCTGGCCCCGGCGCTGCTGCGGGGCTGGGCTCGGCTCCGCGGGCGCCTCCCCGGCGGTGCGGGGCCGGGCTGGGCTGGGGGGGGGGGAACGTGCGGGGGGGAACCGGCCGGGCCCGCTCCCCCCCCCCCCCCCCCCCCCACCACCACCCCCCTCCGCCCTCCCTCCTCCGCCCCCCGCACGGACTTTCCTCTCGTCCCTTTGTTCAGTTCTCGGCCTCTCTGGGAGCGCTCCGAGGCCGGCGGGCAGCAGCGGCAGCTCCGCACGTCGCGATCGCCGTAGCGAGGCTCGGCGCGGCTGCTCCCAGTGACCGCGCCCCAGCCCGGCCATGTACCCCCAGGGCCGGCACCCGGTGAGTCCCGGTACCCCCCGCCGCCCCCCCCACCCCCCCCGCTCCCCTCCCTCCGGCTGCCCCCCCCCCCCCCCCGGTAACCCCCCCCCCTCTCCCCGGTAACCCCCGCGGCCGCTTCCCGCAGGCTCCGCACCAGCCGGGCCAACCGGGCTTCAAATTCACCGTGGCCGAGTCCTGCGACCGGATCAAGGACGAGTTCCAGTTCCTGCAGGCCCAGTACCACAGGTGAGCCCGGGGGGACCCCCGGCCGCCCCCCCCCCTGCCCCGAGCCCCCCCGGTTCCGCGGGGTCTCACCGTGCGCTCTCACCCCCCCCCAGCCTCAAAGTGGAGTATGACAAGCTGGCGAACGAGAAGACCGAAATGCAGCGCCATTACGTTATGGTGAGAGACTTTAATCAGATTTCGGATCAGCCTGCAAATGTCATTAGCTGCGAGCCTGCGAACGGGGGGGACCGGGGGACCCCCCCCCGGTACGGGCACCGCCTGCCCGGGGACCCCCGTGCCGGGGGGGCGGCGGTGCGGGGCGCTCCGAGCCCCGGCCGGCTGGAAGCGCCATCCCAAGTTTCCTGTTAACCCCTTTGGAGCGGGCCCGTGGCCGCGGGGGGGTCGGGGGGGGGCTGGAGCGGCCACCCCGAGCTCTGGGGGGGGATCCCCGGTGCTGCTGCGGGTCCCCCCCGTGCTTGCCCCGAGGCCACCCGGGAGCCATCGCAGCTCCTCCTCCCGCCCCCCCTCCCGTTCATCCTTCCCGAGGGAAATGGGCACTTTTGTTGCCACAAAACGCTCTTTTTAAAGCTAAATTAGCATGGCGGGGCCCCGGGTGGGCTCGTTGGGGGTTCTGGTGGGTTCGGCCGGGCCCTGCGCCCCCTTTCCCGGCCGCTGCCCTGGTCCCTGGGGGGAACAATCACCCCCCCCCGGTGAGAAGCTGGGTTTTTGGCCAGACTCCGGGCTGTACCTGTTCTGCCAGGGCTGAGCAGACGCCTGTCACCCAGCTCTGCGCCTCTTTGTTTTTCTAAGTAGCTTAGGAGGAGAAAACAGGAGTCAAAAGGAGTGTCCCCTCGTTAAGTGCCTGCCAGTTAAACCCATAAACATCTGCTTATTATAAGGTGTAATTTCCTTGGCTACCCGTGCTTTAAGCCCAGTTTTGCCCAGGATGCTTTTTGGTAATGACCTTATGCAAATGCCTTCTGTGAATTGAATTCAAATTCTCCTTGGCTCTCGTGTTTAATTGAATTTATTTCTATTTTTTTTTTCCCCTCTCCTTCCCCAGTACTACGAAATGTCGTACGGTTTGAATATTGAAATGCACAAACAGGTGAGTAATTTCGAGGGGGGAAGTTGTGATTGATTGATCTCCTGTTGCCCTTTTCCTCCACCTGAGGTAAAATCGGCCCTGATTGCACTAAATAGGGAATAAGTGCTGGAGGCAGGGATGTGACTCCAGGTGGGATCCCGTGGCCCGGCTGTTAAATCGGCAGCCGCAGGTTGATGGCACTCGGTGGGGTTATTTGTCGATATTCACGGGGAATTTCGGTTTTAGGCAGAGTGTTTATGCAAAGAGGTGAGAACAGCCTCGCCTCCCGTGCTGGGAGGTCAATACCTGGAATAGCGCGTTCCCAAGGCTTGGAAAACACTGATAGGGGCTGCGCTGGCCTCTGCTCGTGTTGTGGGTACGGCAGGGCTGTTTGTAAGGTCATCCCCTGCTCCCGGCCCTGCCGGAGCGTGAGACCGAGCCGGGAATTATCTCCAGAGCTCACCGTGTGTTGCTCAATGGCACGGAGTTGTCTTTGCATCTGGGAAGTGAAGCAATGTTTGGGGCTGGTTGGGGTTTTGGTTTTGTTGGTTGGCTTTTTTTTTTTTTTCCCCTCCCTCCCCTCCCTTCCAGTCTTCTCTAATGTGTAACTTGCCTGAAGGAAAAAATAGAGAAGGCCCCAGCAGAATGTGGTGTGCTACCTTGATAAGATTATCGGTAAAGAGCCTAAAGGCTGCGCACATGATGGTAAAACTTAAAGGAATAAAGTTATTATTGAGATTAGACCTGATTATTTGTGCTGCTGCTGCTTACTGGTTTTAGAAGGAGTTCTAATTAAGAACTTAGGGCAGATAGAAGTTGACATCAACTTTGCCGCTCGCAAATCAGCCCCATTCAACTCCAAAGTGGTTTGGCTTAATAGCGGCATCGCCCTCCTCCTCCTCCTCCTCGGAGGCTCGCTGGGCGCTGATGAGATGCAAAGCAGCGTCTCTGAATGCGCCTCTCTCTTCCTCCCCTCGCCTTGCTGCGCCGTAGTCACGGGGCAGCGAAAATAATTCCTGCTTAGTCTTCAGTTTTTTATAAATATCTCCTTCCACGCAGATAATCCCCACTCCCCGCTCGGGGGCCGCTGCCCGGCCCCGGGGTCCTTGTGTGGGGGCTGTGGGGACCCCCGAGCTCGGGGGAGCTCGGCCAGCTTTGAGCTGGGGTGCTCGGGAACGCCCCAAAATTCGGGATTGGGGGTAGGCCCAGCCTCCTGCGAGGAGGGCATGGCTCTGGTGCGGCCAGAGGGACACGGAGCCCTCAGCAACGCCCAGGGGACTTTGGGGTTGCCTGGAGGGACCCCAGCCCAGGCTCTTGGGGCAGAGGAGACCTCTGCCCACCCTCTTCCTACCTGGGTGCTGGACGGCTCTGCTCAGTGCTGGGAGATGCTGGGTTGGTTCCCTCGGTGGGAGATGCTGGAACGATGGCCTGGGATGCTAGGGGACATGCTGGGATGACACCCCAGGATGCTGGCTTGGTTCTCTCGCTGGGAGATGCTGGAATGATGGCCTGGGAGATGCTGGGTTGGTTCCCTCATGAGGAGATGCTGGAATGACACCCCAGGATGCCTGGTTGGTTCCCTCATGAGGAGATGCTGGAATGATGGCCTGGGAGATGCTGGGTTGGTTCCTTCATGAGGAGATTCTGGAATGACACTCTGGGATGCTGTGTTGGTTCCCTTGATGGGAGATGCTGGAATGATGGCCTGGGAGATGCTGGAAGGACACTCTGGGATGCTGGCTCGGTTCTCCTGCTGGGAGATGCTGGAATCATGGCCTGGGAGATGTTGGAATGGCACTCTGGGATGCTGGGTTGGTTCCCTCACGAGGAGATGTTGGAATGGCACTCTGGGATGCTGGCTTGGTTCTCTCTCTGGGAGATGCTGGAATGGCACTCTGGGATGCTGTGTTGGTTCCCTTGCTGGGAGATGCTGGAATGATGGCCTGGGAGATGTTGGAATGGCACTCTGGGATGCTGGGTTGGTTTCCTTGCTGGGAGATGCTGGAATGATGGCCTGGGAGATGCTGGGTTGGTTCCCTTGCTGGGAGATGCTGGAATGGCACTCTGGGATGCTGGCTTGGTTCTCTTGCTGGGAGATGCTGGAATGATGGCCTGGGAGATGCTGGAAGGACACTCTGGGATGCTGGCTTGGTTCTCCTGCTGGGAGATGCTGGAATCATGGCCTGGGAGATGCTGGAATGGCACTCTGGGATGCTGGCTTGGTTCTCTCTCTGGGAGATGCTGGAAGGACACTGTGGGATGCTGGCTCGGTTCCCTCGCTGGGAGATGCCATTCCCAAGACGTTCCCCAGTGTTTTCCCCCGGTCCGTGGGTGCGTCCCGAGGTTTGGCGGCGCTGGGAGGTGTGGATGGAGCATCCCCTGTGCCGTGTGCCGCGGGGGTCTGGGGCTGGCCCCGGAGCCGCAGCGTTCCCGGTTCGGCTCGGTCCCCGCCTGTCCTGGCCGTTCCCGGTGCCGGCAGCCCAGGAGGCCCGGCACGGTCGCCTCTTTGCTGGGAGCCGTGCGAGCGATTCCCGCAGCATCCCGTGCCCGCCCGGGCGCTTCCCGCTGCCGGGAACCGGGGGAAGCCGGAGCCGTCTCCTCCTCTAATTGACAGGCAGCGCGGAGCAAACAAACAAAGCAGCCCGGGCTGCTGCTTCCAGGCGAAAATGGGGCGAGCGGGGAGCGCCGGACCGCAGCGGGAGCCCGGGGAGGGCTTTTCCCCCCTCTCCGGGGCCGCAGCATCCCCTGAAAGGCATGGCTGGCGCAGCATCCCCCCGGCAGGCAGGCAGGCATCCCGCAAGGCATCCCGCTAATTGCGGCGTGGTCCTGCCGGCATCTGGCTGAGGGTGGCTGGTCCTGAACAAACAAGTTTATCAGCTGACCTGTTTAGCGGTTGACTTGTGTTTATCTGCACACAATCAAGTAGACTGAAGTGCTTGAATTATTCATGCAGTGTCCTGCCCTCCAGACTTGACTGCTTGTGATTACATCTGCTCCAGACAAACATTGATGGATACTTCATCTTTAAGCAAAAGGGGATTGTCTGTCTGTGGGCTTATATAACAGATTATCTCTTCCACGCTGAATATTAAGTGTGTGCATATGTGGCTGCGTGTGGGGTTGGGGTTTTTTTTTTTTTTTGCCTTCCCCCCCCCTCTTTCTTCTCATTTTGTTTCTCGTTAGGAAAAAAATGGAGTTTCATAAACAACTCCATATGCAAGGAAATATTTAGGAAGTGATTCCCCAGTCGGTTGCAGTGAATTGCTCCTTACATCAGTCTTCCTGCTGAACTCCACTCCTTTCCCGGGCTCAGCTCTCCTAAACCCGGCTCCAATCAGGAGTTTTCTTTTGAAACCCCGACAAAACTTTTTTTCCTTTTTTTCTTTTTTCCTTTTTTTTTTTTTTTTCGGTCGGGTTAATTGATTTTTCCAAAAGAAACTTCCCTTCCCCTGTCGGCCGTGCATTGTTTCTGTGCAGATCTCCGTGGATAATCGCCGAGGGCAATAACCATTCCAAAAGGAAAACTCATTTTGCGTGGGGAAACGGGACACCTCGGAGGACAGAACCTTTGTGCTGCCTTTGATTCCTTGTTATGGCTGAGAACGCTCCACAGAAGCACTTCTTGTTTCCCTGCCTAATGCTTGGAACAAGCCTAAAGCCCCCAACACTTCCAGGGGAGAGAGGCAGCTTTTTGTATGTGTGTTTCTAGAATATTCTAGGAACACAATATCCTTTCTGTCGTGCTCGTTAGCAAGGAGTGCCAGGTAATAATTTGCTAAATACTTCAGAAGCCGAGTAATTTGTGAGCTGTGCTCTCAGCACTCCCAAGGCAGAAGGGAATTCTGTCTTCCCTGGCTGAGTTTTGGGGGCTCCTGGCTGAATTTTGGGGGCTCCTGGCTGAGTTTTGGGGGTCCCTGCGAGCTTTACCCCATTGCTGGTGGTAATTCCCTAATGAGGGGCTGTGTCCTGCCCCTCCACACCCCCGCCCTGAATTTAATTCTCATCAGCCAGGCTCTCCACTTTGCTAATAACGATAGCAGCCACAAATAGCTTTCAACATGCCATTGACAGCCCGCTTGGAGAGAGCACTTGAAATAGTGGTAGACAGCTGAAAGTACCCATAATTGTGCGCCCGAGTGAGAACCACACTGCTCAAGGGCCTGATTTTCATGTGCTTAAAGAGACAATATCCTGGTTTCAACAAATGCTGCTGGTGCTTCACGCCTCGTGTGATTTACTCCTCCTCCTGCCGGGGGAGGAGGGTTTGGGGGGTCTGCAGGGGGCTGTGGGGCGCAGAGCCTTCGCAGAATCACCACGGGGTGTTTGCCGTGGGGTGGAGATGAGGAGAAGGTCGGGGCTCTGCCGGGGGGGCTGTGGGGTGGTGCTGGTGCTGTGCTCCCGCAGCCCCTGCAGGGCTTTGGGGTGCCCTGTGGGTGTGGGGATGGGTTTGTTATTCCCCAGGGGATGGCTGCATTCTCCAGGCTGCCAGAGCTCCAGCAGCCTTGGGACAAATCTTGGGGCACGGGGTGGGATTGGTGGGGTGTCTATGCAGGGCCTTGGGTAATGCTGGTGCTCCCTCCCACCTCTGGAGATTCCTGGATTTGAGGATATAAGTATGTTATATGTGTTTTGGGGTGTTTTGCAGTGTTCTGTGTTCAGCACCCACCTCTGGAGATTTCTGGATTTGAGGATATATAAGTAGGGATGTTTTGGGGTGTTTTGCAGTGTTCTGTGTTCAGCACCCACCTCTGGAGATTCCTGGATTTGAGGATATAAGTATGTTATAGATGTTTTGGGGTGTTTTGCAGTGTTCTGTGTTCAGCACCCACCTCTGGAGATTTCCTGGATTTGAGGATATGTTATATATGTTTGGGGTGTTTTTCAGTGTTCTGTGTTCAGCAAGCACCCACCTCTGGAGATTCCTGGATTTGAGGATATATAAGTAGGGATGTTTTGGGGTGTTTTGCAGTGTTCTGTGTTCAGCACCTCCCCATCCTTCATCCCACAGCATAAACCCAGCAGCAAGGGCAGGCTGGACGTGGGGCTGGTGTGGCCCAAAATCTGTCCTGGGGCTCCACCTGCCCTGGCCTGCTGGGATTCCCTTCTCCACGGCGAATATTTTCCATTTGGTGTAGAGGTTGAGGTCTGTGTGATGTGTGCAGGGTGTTTTGGGGTGTTCTCTGCAGGTTTGGGGTTTTTTGGGATGCTGAGCAATGCCCGTGGGGCTGTTTCCTGCAGGCAGCTCCATCCTCCCAGGAGCAGGGAGCCCAGGAGGGATCTGTGTCCTGCCCTGTGCCATGGGGGGGATGCTGGGATTGGTCTGGGGGGTCACCCCGGCTCTGGCACATCCCTGCAGCTCCCATTTGCCTCCTGGACATCCCAAGCTGAGACAATTTGGCACCAGCAGCATCCCCAGTGCCCAGAGCCCTGTCTGGGGTGTCCCCCCTGAGCCTGGATCCAGCCTGGAGCTCTGCACTTCCATCTTTTGGGTCAGTTTTAAGGCTGTTCTACCTCTGCCATGACTGACATCCCGGGGGGGTTATTTTTACATTCCCTCTGCCCCATCCAGGTGTAGGGATGGCAGTGCAGGAGCTGCAGGGCAGAGCCAGCCCCAGCTATTTAACACCGAGCTGCCACCTCTCCGAGGCAGTGCCAGCAGCAGCTCCCCGTGTCCCCAAGTGCTTGGGATGCTGCTGGTGGCTCTGGCCATTTTGAGAGCAGGTGACAGGAGCCCCAGCCGGGGCCAAGTGGGCCCGGGGTGATTTATCACCGGTGCAGATGTTTTCTCTGGTTTCGCTGAAACCCCACGCCGGGAGGCTCCGGGCAGGGAGCGGGGCAGATTCCTGGCAGGGGCACACAGCGAGGGGGGATTAGCTGGGATTTCAGCTTCTCCCGACTCCTTGCCCTTTTTAACAGCCGGGAGGTGTTTGGGAGCCTCTCCCCGCGCCCCCGCCGGGCGTTTGATCCGCCCCGGTCCAGGGAGGATGCAGGGCAGCAGAAGGGGATGCGGAGCTGGGATTGCCATGGCAACCCGCGGTGGGAACGGAGGCTTTCCTTGGCAGGAGCAGCTCGAGGTGGGGCTCAGGGGCTCTGGGCAAGGTGAGGGATGAGCCCTGTGAAGGGGAAGGTGTTGGGCAGGGAGCCCTCCCCCTGTTCCCGGCGTTCCAGAGAATCCCCTTCACTCCCAGTTAAAGTTTTAATGGGGACAACTGGAGTTTAATGTGCTGGGGAATGGGAAAAGGGAAAGTGAGCAAATATTTAAAGACCATTGAATCTCGTGTTCACAGGAAACCTCACGGTTGTAAACACAATATTTTGGACATCCAATATCTCTGTGCTGGGTCCCACGTGGGAAGCCTCTTTCTGTGTGGAATGGGGAGTTTGGCTTCGCATCTCGCTTGGAAATTTTGCATTTCAAGGTGGAAGCATCACGTGTGCTGCTGGTCAGGGCTGTCCGGGGAAAACCCAGCTCCTTCCCTTCCTGCTCCATGGAATCAGCCTGGCTGGATGCTGTGTTTCTCCAGGGTGCAGCCGAGGGAGGCTGGCTGGTGTTCTCCCCTCAGATGTGGATCAGATTTGTTCTAGAACCCAGGAGCTGCCAGGGCAGAGCTCCTGGAGCAGCGGCTGTGCTCGCTGCATCCCAATCCAAGGGCTGGAGCTGGAGGAATAAATCTTTAATGCAGCTGCAGCTAAATATAATCTGATCAAAGTGCCAGTGCCAAAGAGCCTGGAAGGAGCTTTTCCCATGGCAGGGCACGGCGGTGGCACCGTGGGGGCTGGTGACACTCGCAGTGCCAGCCTGGCTGCTCCAGCCACGGCGCCAGGGCTGGGTTGGGTTTGGCACCTGGAGCTTCCAGCCTGGCTGTTGTGGGAGTGTTGAGTGCTGAAAACCCTGTGCTGGCCAGAGCCTGGTGCTGGGGACGGGGTCACCATGGCAAAGTGTCCCTGCAGTGATGGGACCCAGGGAGTGGCTTCCCCCTGCCGAGGGCAGGGACAGGTGGGGGATACTGGCAAGGGATCCTTCCCTAAAAGGGGGCTGGGACACTGGTGCCTGTGACTGCCCCATTCCTGGAAGAGTCCAAAGCCAGGTTGGAGCAACCTGGGCTCCTAGAAGGTGCAGGGAGTGGAACTGGATGAGCTTTAAAATCCCTTCTGACCAAAGTGTTCCAGGAGTCCATGATCCCCGGCTGCCTGCTGGATCCGTGCATCCTCACGCCCGGGGCCATGATGATCCCAGTGACTTGGTGGCTGTGGCCAGGGTACCTGAGTCCAAGCTGTGGTCACTTCCAGCCGTCCCTGCCTTGGCACGGTGTGCCAGCACGTTCCCTGCCTCTGGAATTGCTAAGAAAAGCATCAGGTGTAACCCAATCACCGGGAGTGCTTCTGGAGAACAGGATGGCCAGGAGTGTTCCTGTGGCTTTGCAGCCCATGGGGAGCTCTTGGGGACCCCTGGGAGCAGGACCCGGAGCTCTGGGCTCTGTGGGGCTGTTCCCTCCATGGGGGTGACTCCAGGCTGGGGCAGGTCAGGGTTTTCCCGGTGTCTCCTTGCTCATGGTGGTGCTGGGAATGTTGATGGTGCTTGTTGGGTTGTGTAGCAGGAGCAGCATATCCCAGCCATCCCCAGCAAGGGCTGGGTGTCCCCTTTGGGGTTTCTCCCCCAAATCAGGATATTTGGGGATCCTCCTTGGGGTGCTTGAGAGCAGGTGGAGCTGAGGGCTCCTTTGGTTTGGCTGGGCTAAAAACCCAGCGGTGCTGTAGGAGCTGTTGCAGGGAGCTGAGCCGTGGGGTCGGCAGGGTGAGGCTTTGGGGCGATGTGGGGAGCAGGAGGTGCCTGTGGCTGTCCTGGGAAGGCGGCTCCCTGCCAGCAGGAGGCCGGAGCTCTCCCGGGTAATCACTTGTGCTGTTGATAAGGAGCTGCCGGGGCTGGCGGAAGGAATTTCGGGGCGTTTGATTCCCTGCCAGCGCTCGGCCCCGGCCATTGTTGTGGCGCTGCATCCTCGCGGCCGCTCCGCCGTGTTTGACTTGGAGCTGGAGCTGTTTTCACAGCTGCCTCGGCCAGGAGCAGCCTGGGTTAACCCCTGGGAGCCAGGACACGGCTGTCCTGCTGGGAACATCCCTGGAGAGGGACACGGGCATCCTGCTGGGAGCATCCCTGGAGAGGGACAGGGGCATCCCACCAGGAGCATTCCTGGAGATGGACACAGGCATCCTGCTGGGAACATCCCTGGAGAGGGACACGACCATCCCTGGAGAGGGACACGGGCATCCTGCTGGGAGCATCCCTGGAGAGGGACACGGCCATCCCTGGAGAGGGACACGGCCATCCCTGGAGAGGGACACGGCCATCCCTGGAGAGGGACACGGCCATCCCTGGAGAGGGACACTGCCATCCCTGGAGAGGGACACGGCCATCCCACCAGGAGCACACCTGGAGAGGGACATGGGACATGGCCGTCACACCAGGAGCATCCCTGGAGTGGGACATGGCCATCCCTGGAGAGAGACACGGCCATCCCACCTGGAGCACACCTGGATGCTGTTCCCTTGCACAGCGCTAATTCCTAAGGAAAGCATCCGGTGTACCCCAATCTCCAGGAGTGTTTCTGGAGAACAGCATGGCCAGGAGTGTTCCTGTGGCTTTGCAGCCCATGGGGAGCTCTGTGGGGACCCCTGGGAGCAGGGCCCGGAGCTCTGGGCTCTGTGGGGCTGTTCCCTCCATGCTGGGGCAGGTCAGGGCTTTCCCGGTGTCTCCTTGCTCATGGTGCCACTGGGAATGTTGATGGTGCTTGTTGGGTTGTTTGTGTAGCAGGAGCAGCGTGTCCCAGCCATCCCCAGAAGGGCTGGGTGTCCCCTTTGGGGTTTCTGCCCCAGTAAAGCTCCCCCAGGGTGCAGCTGGCAGGTGTAGGTGCATCCAGGCTGTTCCAGGGCGGGATGTGAGGCTGGCAAAGGGAATCCCACCTGTAGACAGGGAGCAGAGCAGAACCCCCAGCCCTGGTGGGGACTCAGCTCCCTGCACAGGGCAGGTAGCCTTGCCAAGGAGTGTTTTGGGGAAATCAAACCCCCACTGCAGCCTTGGCAGCGGGAGGAGACGGAAGGGCCACCAAACCCTGGATTTCCTGGGATGCAGCAGCTGCTCCCAGGATGGGCCTGGCTGTTTGCTCGGAGCCAGGGCAGTCCAGGCTGGTGTGACTCTGCCAGGACACTCATCCTGTGCTGGGAAGGGCATGGAAGAGTCCCAGGGAAGCAGGGAAGTGTCTCTGGGCTGGGGAGCTTGAGAGGGCTCCCAGTGCCTCTGCTGGGAAGGGACAGAGAGGGGACTTTGGGAAGGGACAGGGAGAGGGGACAGAGAGGGGATTTTGGGAAGGGACAGGGAGAGGGGACAGAGAAGGGATTTTGGGAGGGGATTTTGGGACGGGACAGGGAGGGCATCTGTGGCAGGGGACAGAGAGGGGATTTTGGGAAGGGACGGGCAGGGGACACAGCTCTGCTGCCAGGAAGCCTCGTGCTACCCGTGGGAGGCTGCTGCCGGGTGCTGACTGCTGCTGCTTTTCCTTCTTCCCTTTTTTCAGACAGAAATTGCTAAAAGACTGAACACGATTTTAGCCCAGATCATGCCTTTTCTGTCACAAGAGGTAAGGACTTTTTCCACACCCTCTTTGAGGGGGTGCAGCCTTTCCCCAGGGGTTTCCCCTCCCTTGCAGGCAGTGCTGGGCCCCTGGGTGGGGGCTGGATGTGAGAAATGGGATTTAAATCCTGCCTGAATGCTGGAGGACCCTTGGGATGGGCAGAGCTGGGCCCTGCAGGGGCTCTGCTCAGCTTGGGGGGCTGCACTGAGCCCAAAAGGCTGCGAGGGGCTTCCCCTTTTCCCCGAGGAGCTGGGAGGTGCCCCCGGGCTGCTGCACACAAAATAGGGCAAAAAATAGGGAAAAACGGGCAAAACAGGGCCCAAAAAGCAGGGGGAGCCGTGGCTGGTGGGGTCCTGCACCTGGGCTGTGGCTGACCCAGGCCCTGTGTCCCTGCAGCACCAACAGCAGGTGGCCCAGGCTGTTGAACGTGCCAAGCAAGTGACAATGACGGAGTTGAATGCTATCATCGGGGTACGTGGACTTCCCAATCTGCCTCTCACCGTGTGTATTCCCCTTTTATTCCTATCATTTACCATATCCAGAGGCAACCCTGCGCTCAGGAGGGCACTCAGGGCGGCTCCCAGGCCCCAGACATCCCAAAACCCCAAAAGTGCCCCAGTCCCACAGCTCCTGGCTGTGCCAAAACGCCAAAACTGCCCCAATCTGGCCCCCATCAGGACAGGGCTGGGAGCTGCTGCCTCCCTGGCAGCTCCAGGATTCCAGTGGGGTGTTCCTGTTCCTGGGGGGATTTGGGACGGGAGCCTCCCCAGCCCCTGAGGCCAGGCTTGTCTCTGCCGGGCTGTTGGTGTGGAATGTGCTGTGCCATTGACCCTTTCCCCACACAGATTGAGGGGTTCTGATTGAAAATTAACAATTCTAATCATTTCTGTGGTTGCTGTCACTGCCTCGGTCCTGCAGCAAACCCCGGGACATCGGAATTCCCAATCCACATCCTGGGCACCTGGCTCCAGTGCTCCTCTGGCTTTGTTTCCCAGAAAATACTCATTTATAACTGTTTCTATTTTTTAATAGCTATTTACACTTTGTAGGCTTCAAGGATCTTTTATGATTCTGTGTCTAACTTGCTCTTCCATCCATTTTCCTGTATTTTATGGGTGTCACCCGCTGTGGAATCGTGCTCTGGGCTCCTGCAGTTTTTGGGGATGAGGAAGCAGCTGGATCCCTCGTGGTGTGGGAAGTGCCCCAGGAATGGGAGCTGAGTTTTGGGGTGACACTGCACCCTCCTGCTGCTCCTCACCCGTTCGGGGTGGGCTGGGGATGGAGCAGGAGCTGCTGGAAGTGGCAGATATTGGAATTCAATTAAGGTGGATGAGGAGGCCCGTGACCCCCATTCCCTGGATAATTGCTTCCCTGGGCCACAGCAAGGCCCTGCTGTCATTAGCAGCCAGCCCAGCCCTTTAATCACCTCCCTGATGAGGAATCACAGGCATCTCCCCTGGGCTGGCCCAGCAGGGAGGGACACGCTGCTGCCCAGTGATCCCACAGCCTCCCGTGGCTTGTCCAGAGATGGGGAGTGGGTTTAGGTGCTGGGTCCGTGCTCCTGCACCTGCTCCAGAGCTTCCCAGAGCAGAAAACCCAGAGGATTTTGCCTTTTTTCCTCCTCTCTGTGCAGGGAATGGTTGGTTACTGTAGGGTTGCTGCTGGCAGGAGGGGATGGTGGCTCCATGGCTTTCAGAGATGGTTCCAGGCTCATCCCAGAGCATGGCACTGGTTTGGGTGGAGGATTTGTGCCCACAAAGACACAAAATCCACAGGATTTGGGGTTTTTTTCCCTCCCCTCTGTGCATGGAGTAGTTTGTTATTATAGGGTTGCTGCTGGCAGGAGGGGATGGTGACTCCATGGCCTTCCATGGCTTGAGGGGATGGTGGTTCCTTGGCCTCCCATGGTTTTTGGAGATGGTTCCGGGCTCCTCCTGGAGCATGGGGCTGGTTTGGGTGGCAGCTCCAGCCCGAGTCCCCCAAATGCAGAGGGTTTGGTGTTTTGCCCTGCCCTCAGCAGGTTGTTTCTGTCTTTCCCTGGCTTGGTTTGCTCAGCACTGGGCTGGCCTGGTGTCCCTGGGCTCCAGCCCTGGGTGGCCCCACTGTCCCCAGCCTGCCCCAACACCCCGGTGCAGATGCTGCAACACCCAGACTCCCCCCAAAATGGTGCAAAGCTCCTTTTTTTGCCCCTTTTGAGGTCAAGATCTGTTAATTTTATGCATCTGGGCCATTGTCTCGCAGCTCCTGCGCTCGAGGCTGGGCTGAAATGGAGCCTTGATTTGGTTGTAGCCCTGGAAATGATTAAACCCCGTCACTAAATTTAACGCCGGCGCTGAACTGAAGTGCTGAACCATTAAATCGGGAACAAAGGCATGGAGCGTGATGGACATAATCCAATTAAAGCCACTCCACCAGCAGACACTCCCTGCCAGCCTTCCTCCCAAATTTGGAACCTCTTCCCATGCCCCCATGTCTGTGTGACACGGCTGGGGAGCTCCGTGGGCGCTGCCCCGGGCTGGGTGTGCAGGGATTGTTATCTGGGATTGTCATCTGGGATTGTCATCCCTCCCCAGCCCCTGTTTCCTGGGACACTGGGGACACCACTCCCTGCCGGGCTCCTGCTGCACAGGAGGAGCCCAAACTGGTGCTGGAATCCAGCTGGAGCCCCAGGGCAGCATCCTGAGGGATCTGATTGTGGATGGGCTCAGTCACTCCACCATCCTGGAATGCTGCTCCCAAGCCTGGTCCTTGTGTGTGTCACTTGTCCAGCAGGACCTCAGTGCCTGGGCAGGGGGATCTGGGCTTCCCAAAGAGCCTCCCCATCCCTGGAATGCTGCAGGAAGCCCTCACCCTGTGGTGCTGTTGGAACTCAGCATTTCCAGGGTTGGGATAAGGGATGGGAAGGGAGGGATGGGCCCTTTCCAGCAGGGGACACTGGGGGCAAGCAGGACCTCGGTGCCACCCAGTGCCAGGTGGGCTGTGTGCCCCTCCTGGGAGCCTCCAGGACGTTGTTCTGAGGGATGTGCAGGAAGGATTGTGCACTGGGAACCCTGCAGCACCACCCTGGGCTGAGCCCCAGGCTCCCTGGCTCCTCATCCTGCTCTCCTTGCCACGGGAATGGCCTGCCTGGGACACGGATGGAGCTCTGCAGCCCCGCTTGGGGACCTTGGCTACCCCAGGACACAGGGACAAGGCTTCAGGACGCCCCACACGGATTCTGCTCTCCACTGCCAGAGGGGAGGAAGCCAAACCCACCTGGAGATGTTGCTGTGAGCCACCAGGGATGCTGTGTCCTGGCCTTGGTCCCACATCCTGTGAGGGGCTGTTCCTCACCGAGCCCATGGATGGATTTACCTGTTGGCAGCCTAAAAACCAGGAAGAAATCCCAGTTTGTTCTTTGCTGGAGCAGCTCCAGGTGCTGATTCTACTCCCCATGGTGCTGTTGCCTCGCTGGTGGTGGGGCTGTGCTGTCCCCTGGGCTGTTCCAGGCTGGGAATTGCCATCCACACCCTGGGAATTGGAGTGCTGCTGTTCTCCCTTTTTTGGGTGGAAAGCTGCTGGGATGAGTTACAGCCTGCAGATGTTTCTGGAAGCTGGAGATTGCCGAGGATAAACCACTGGATCTTGGTGTGTTCCAGGGATGGGATATGGAAATACCAATGGAGAGCTCCCAGGAGAGGAATGTGGGAATGGTTGGAGGCACTGGAAAAACACCCAGGGCCGTTCTCTGGGATGGTGCTCTGCTACAATGGCCCTGCTTCTCCCTCCAATGGGTGGAAATCCTGTGAAATGGGGATTGGGAAGAGCCCCAGGGATCTGTTCCATTTGCTTTGGTGCCAGAGGATTGATCCTGGCACTGAGGAGCTGCCAAGGGACCGACCCTGTGCCCCTCACCGCCAGCTCTGCTCCGTGCCCTGGTTTGGGGACGCTCTGGAATGTCCATCCTGAGGATGCTTCCCATCCTGCTGGCAGAACCAGCTCCTGCTTCTGGAGGGCTCAGGGATTTGTGGATTTCCTGCAGCAGAGGCCTGGTGGCCTTCTCTGTGTGGCTCCTGCTGCAGCTGGGATATCAGAGCTGCTTCCATGGATCTCCTGTGCCTGGGGCTGCCCTCAGCTCCCACCTGGAATCTTCTTCTGCATGGGGATTTCCCCCTCCATGCCACAGGGATGAGAAGGCAGCTCTGGAAGGGGTGGGTGGCCCAGCCAGGGCCTGCTCCATCTGCTGTGTCCATGGAGTGGGACAGGACGTCACCTTCTGCTGCCCAGAATGGGTCCTTCCATCAGGAGTGGGCCGGGGCTGTTCCCCCAAAACCTGGCCTTGATGTGGGGATACTTCTCATGGAATCATGGAATGGTTTGGGGTTAAAGCCCACCCAGTGCCACCCCTGCCATGGCAGGGACACCTTCTGCTGTCCCAGGCTGCTCCAACCCTGTCCAGCCTGGCCTGGGGCACTGCCAGGGATCCAGGGGCACCTGGGTGCTCCTCCTGCAGCTCTGGACAAGATGTGCTGGAAATTTCCGTGATGGAACTGTTGGGAGCATGGGCAGAGCCCTCCATCCCCAGGGCTGTTGTTTTGGGGAGCCCTCCGTCCCCAGGGCTGTTGTTTTGGGGAGCCCTCCATCCCCGGGGCTGTTGTTTTGGGGAGCCCTCCATCCCCAGGGCTGTTGTTTTGGGGAGCCCTCCATCCCAGGGCTGTTTTTGGTGTTCCTGGGGGTGTCCATTGGGCTGGCCCCTGTGCCAGCAGGTCCTGCTGTCCATCCCTGCCCCTCAGAGTCCCCCGTGACAAATCCTGATCCAGGCTGGCTGTGGGGACCTGAGGGAGCTCTGCTGCAGCCCGGGTGTCCCCTCATTCCTTCCAGGTGTCCCCTCATTCATCCCAGGTGTCCCCAGCCCGTGATTCCCGTTGTGCTCAGATGCCCAAATGCGATTTCCCTGGGATGCTGCTGCAGGGGCTGTGGGTGCAGGCAGGAGGGTCCCAGGCAGCAGCTCCAGCTCCAAGACCCTCCTGGCTGCACCAGGGCAGTGGCTCCTGGGAATTCAGCTGGTTTTCTTCCAAGGCTGTGTTTGAAGCAGGGAATGTGTCTGGTTTTCCCCGTGTCTGGTTTTCCCTTCTCTCCCCAGAGCCGCAGTTCAGCTTTTTCCAGCTCAGCTGGAGCGGGCAGTGGATGAATCTCCATGGCTGGGGGAGTGCTGGCATGGCTGGGATTCACTCCCAAAAAACCCTGGGGGCCCTGTGCCATTCTGGCTGGGCTGGAGCTCCAGGGAATCTGGGGGGTTATGTCCAACCCCATGGTGGGAATGGAGGATCCCTGCAGGATGTGTCTGGTTTCAGAAGGGGCTGAGAGCAGCAGGATCCTGGGATGGGACCAGGAAAATGATGTGGAATTTTCCTCCCGCCATGAAGCACCTGGAAGCTGCTCCTGACCCAACGAGCAGAACTTCCCTGTGCTGAGCTGGCTGGGAGGCTCCTGGGTGCTGGAATTTTCTCCCTTTGACTGGTTCAGCTGCTGCCCTCCAGCCATGGTGTGTCTCTGCTTCCTGGGTGGGATTCCTGGGGTTTTTTTTTAAATCCTTTTTACTGCTGGAAAAGCCAAACTAACCATGTCCTTGGGGATGCAGGATTGTCCTGGGGAGAGGGCTGTGTGTGCTCTGTCATGGGCTGTGCTCTGCCACGGGCTGTGCTATGTCCTGAGGACATCCCTGGGCACCTCTGCCCTCCTGCTAACCCCTGGGGCCATCCCTGGGTGGCTCTGTCCCCCTTTTAACCCCTGGGGCCATCCCTGGGTGGCTCTGCCCTCCTGCTAACCGCTGGGGCCATCCCTGGGCACCTCTGTCCCCCTTTTAAGCCCTGGGCACCTCTGCCCTCCTTCTAACCCCTGGGTACATCCCTGGGCACTTCTGCCCTCCTGTTAACCTCTGGGGCCATCCCTGGGTGGCTCTGCCCTCCTGCTAACCGCTGGAGCCATCCCTGGGCACCTCTGCCCTTCTGTTAACCCCTGGGCACCTCTGTCCCCTGTTAGCCCCTGGAACCATCCCTGGGCACCTCTGCCCTTCTGTTAACCCCTGGGGCCATCCCTGGGCACCTCTGCCCTCCTGCTAACCCCTGGGTACACCCCTGGGCACCTCTGCCCTTCTGTTAACCCCTGGGTACATCCCTTGGTGGCTCTGCCCTCCTGTTAACCCCTGGGCACCTCTGCCCTCCTGCTAACCCCTGTGGCCATCCCTGGGTGGCTCTGTCCCCCTGCCAACCCCTGTGGCCATCCCTGGGTGGCTCTGTCCCCCTGCTAACCCCTGTGACCATCCCTGGGTGGCTCTGCCCCCCTGCTAACACCTGGGGCCACCCCTGGGTGGCTCTGCCCTCCTGCTAACGGGGCTTCTCCTTCCAGGCACCCAGCGGGGCGGCTCCCGGCGCGACCGGGCCCGTCCCATGGCGGAGCGTCCCTCGCAGCCCCTGTGCCCCGTTCCCCCCTTGGCTCACTGGTGCTCTCGTTGCAGCAGCAGCAGCTCCAGGCCCAGCACCTGTCGCACGCCGCGCACGGCCCCCCGGTGCAGCTGCCTCCGCACCCCTCGGGGCTCCAGCCGCCCGGCATCCCGCCCGTCACCGGCACCAGCTCGGGGCTGCTGGCCCTGGGCGCCCTGGGCAGCCAGGCACACCTGGCCGTCAAGGACGAGAAGAACCACCACGACCTGGACCACAGAGGTGAGGGGATGCTGCTGTCGCTGCAGCCACGGCCCTGCCACGGGTTGGTTGGAAGGGAGAGGAGGGTTAAAGGGACGCTTCCCATGTATCGGGGTGCTCCCAGCTGGATCTGGACGCTGCCAGGGATCCGGGTGTCTGGGCACCCTGTGCCACCTGTGCCAGGGTCTCACCGCCCTCACAGGGAACAGTTCGTTCCCAGTATCCCACCCAAATCTCCACTTTTCCACTATGAAGCCATTCCCAGTCTCCTGTCCCTTGTCCCCAGTGCCTCTCCAGCTCTTCTGGAGCCACTTTAGGCCCTGCAAGGGGCTCTGAGCTCTCCATGGAGCCTTCCCTTCCCCAGGTGAACATTCCCAGCTCTCCCAGCCCAGCTCCAGCCCTTGGAGAAGCTCTGTGGCCTCCTCAGGAGTTGCTCCAGGTCCCTCAGATGTTGGTGGAACTCCCTGGTCCTGTCATGACTCATTTCCCACCACCCTATCCCTTGGGTCAGCTGCATTCAGATCATGGGGTTGCCCTTTTAGGGATGCAGAATTCCCTAAAATGGTGCTCAGCCTTTGGTGGAGCCTGGCTGCAATTCCTGTGCTGTTCCTTAATGGGAAAGCAGCCTTCACCCTCCTCCTCTTCCTCCTCCTCTCCATCACCATCATGGTCAGGGATCCAGCTCTGTGCAGCAGGAACTTGGTGTTTTCCCCATTATTTGGGTCCTGACCATTTGTTAGCAGATGGAAGGATCTGTGTGTGGGTCCAGCTGCAAACCAGCGGTGTTCAGGGTTGTCCTGGCAGATCCCCCTGCCCACCAGCACAGGAGGATTTGGGATATTTCCACTCTACCATTGGCAGGGCAGGTTCCCACAGCCCCTCTGGGTTGCTGGGCTCTGCTGGGGGATTTGGGGTGGGAAAAAAGCAGTGAGACAAAAGTATTGGTAGCAATGCTGCTGCTCCATTCCTTCTCCTGCATGGATTCAGATTGCCAGAGATCCCGGGGGAAATGTATAATTTGGGCACAAAGGAAGGGCTGAACCACCTCCTGGGTGTGGAGCTGTGCCCCCCGGGACAGACACCTGGGGCTGCTGCCATTCCCTTTGGATCCAGGGCATTTCCAGCTGTGTTTGGCCAGATAAATCACATGGACAAAAAGGGGCAGGAATTGGATGGGAGAGATGGATGGAGGGAGATTCTAAAGCTGGAGAGAGCCCAGACAGGGCTTGAGTTTAAGGGTTTGACTTAGGAGCACGAGGAGGTTCTGGGTTTATTTTTCTGGTTTAAGACTTATCCTAACTTGCTTTTTTTCCCTGTCTCTGTTTTGGCTGTGCCCTCCCCTCTGCCCTGGCATCTCCTGAAGAGCGAGACTCAAGTGCAGTAAGTCCCATTCCTTCCTTTTGCTCCCACTTTCTGGTGGCTGCATGGCTGAGTTTTATTTATCCCTTAAAAACCCACCTGGTGCCTTGGAGCTGCAGGGCTGCCTTTGGCACAGGTCTTATTAAATAATAAACCAGGCAATAAAATCCCTCATCCTGCCTGGAAGAGCTGTGCTGGGATGAGAGGAGTCACCTTCTCCATAGTGGTGGTGGTTTGGAAATGTGATTTAAATCTCTTTGCTTGTGGCAGAAGGTCAGGAAATCCCATCATTTTGGTTGAGTGAGCGTGGTCAGACCCAGATCCCCTGGGTGGTCAGGGAAGCTGGTTCATTCCTCATCGCTCCCCCATCGTCTAGGCTCACCTAATCTGGGATGGGGTTGGTTAATTCTCCAAATTATGCAGGACTCGGAAGCTCAAGCAGCTCCTAACCAGGGAAATCCCTGGATTTTGGAGCCGCCTTGGAGGCTGCCCATGGGATGGGTTCCCTGGGAGCAGGGATGGAGGGGGTCTGGAGGGTGCCAGGAGCCAGGCAGGGGCTGCCCCGCTCATGGAACGGGGCTGAGCCAGCAGCTCCCAGCCCGGTGTCCAGGGAAAATGGGACCTCAGCATGGAAAGGGCTGTGAACCATCGGAAGGGGCAGCACAGGGGAGGCACTGCAGGTGTCCAGGCAGGGCCTGGCCGCGTCCCTGAGCGGTGGGGCCGGGTCCAGGTGGGGCTGGGTGATCCCAGAGCTCGTTCCCCAGCGCAGCGTTCCGTGTGAAAAGCTGCCAGGACACAAAGGGCGGCTGAGCTGCGGCTTGGCAGCGATTTCCTGCCAGCCCCGAGCCCACAAACGGCCCTTTGGAGAGCGGGGAAGGGAAGTGCTCTGCGAGGGGGGAGAGGCAGAGGGGAATTGGGCGTCATTAACCCGCTCCTGGGGCGGGCAGGGGGCCGTCGGAGCCGGGCAGCTTCCCAATCCATAAACTGCGAGCCGGGGTATTCCCCGTGGAGGTTTAATGTGTGCGATAATCAGCGTTAGTCATTCATATTTTCCCCAGCCTTTGCCTGTGCAATAAAAAATATTTAGTTCCTTGGCGGCGGGCCAGGAGCGGGGCTGAATGGATCGATGCCTCTAAATGCCTGACATGATTCTCTGGGAGCTGCGAGGGTTTTCAGCATGACTGCCTGGGAAGAAAGAGCTCCGTGTTATCCAAAGCTGCTTAGTGGGGACCGAGGAGAAACATGAACTGCTTTGGTTCTCCCTTTCAGCCGGGGAAGAAAGGCGGGCACGGCTCAGGAGCGGCGGGGCTGGCAGGCTGGGGGAGTGGGGATGGATCAGGGAGAGAGCAGGGATGGATCCTGCTGATCCCAGGGACTGAGTGGGGAATGTGCAGGGAGAGAGCAGGGATGGATCCTGCTGATCGCAGGGACTGAGTGGGGAATGTGCAGGGAGAGGGCAGGGATGGATCCTGCTGATCCCAGGGATTGAGGAGAGGGAATGTGCAGGGAGAGAATGGGGATGGATCCTGCTGATTGCAGGGATTGAGTGGGGAATGTGCAGGGAGAGAATGGGGATGGATCCTGCTGATTGCAGGGATTGAGTGGGGAATGTGCAGGGAGAGAGCAGGGATGGATCCTGCTGATTGCAGGGATTGAGTGGGGAATGTGCAGGGAGAGAATGGGGAGGGATCCTGCTGATCCCAGGGATCGAGGAGAGGGAATGTGCTGGGAGAGAGCAGGGATGGATCCTGCTGATCCCAGGGACTGAGAGAGGGGAATGCAGGATCAGGGCCAGGCATCCTCCTTGTTGTGCTGCTGTTTTCCTCCAGCATTCCCTGGGAATGCCAACATCTCCTGGGCTTTGCTGCTTGGAGCAAGGGCAGAATTCCCCTGTACCATGGCACTCCTGGTCACGTGGGTTTTCCAGGACATTTCGTGGATGTCCTTTGGCTCCAGGGCTGGGATGCAGCCATTCTGTTGCTCCTCCTGGCTGGAGGCTCCCAGCTCTGCCAGAGGGAGAACTCCTGGGCTCTGGAGCTTTCCTGGGAATGCCAGGATGTCCTGGGCTTTGCTGCTTGAGGCAACGACAGAATTCCCAATGAGCAGAGCTGTGACTTGGGCACTGGGGTTTGCCATTCCTGGCCATGTGCTTTTCCCAGATGTTTTTATAAACAACCTCCTGCGTTTTCCTGCTATTGCAGCAGAGGAGCTCGGGTGTCCATGGGCATCCCCACAGCATTCCCAGTGCTCCCACTGAGGCTGTTGCTGGATCTGTCCCCTGGATCCTGTGGCATGGTGGGGACCAGGGCGTCTCATCCCTGCTGGGACAGGGCTGTGCTGCTCATGGAGCCTCGTTTCCTTCTGCTCCCCCTTCAAAGCTTCTCCCATCCCCACAGAATAATTCCGTGTCCCCCTCGGAGAGCCTGCGGGCCAGCGAGAAGCACCGGAGCTCCACGGACTACAGCATCGACTCCAAGAAGAGGAAAGCGGAGGAGAAGGACAGCATGAGCCGATATGTGAGTGACAGTGACGGCTCTGAGGCCACGGGGACACCTGGGGCAGCACCTGGGGGCAGGAAGCGGGATTGGGGTGGTGCTTTCCAGGTGTCACGTGTGTCAGCTGGGACAGAGAGCCGTGGGATCATTCAGGCTGGAAAAGACCTTGGAGACTGTGGGGTCCAACCGTCCCTCAGCACCATCCCAAGGCCACCATAATCCATGTCCCCAAGTGCCACATCCGCTCCCCTCGATGACTGCACCCCTGCCCTGGGCAGCCCCTTCCAACACCCGACCACCTTTTCCATGGAAGAATTTCCTCCCTGATCTCCAGCCTGAATGTCCTGCTGCTGTTGGGGGTGGTTTGGCTCGGAGGGCTGATCCCCCCCCCCCCAGTTTTTGGGGTGTGACACATTTTGTGTTCCAGGACAGCGATGGTGACAAGAGCGATGACCTGGTGGTCGATGTCTCCAATGAGGTGAGCTCTGGGTTTGGGATGTGGCAGGTGATTCCTTAGGGACCTCCCCACACCGGCCTGAAGGGGAAGCCGGAGGGAGCCCTTCCTTCCCGCTGTGGGAATTCCAAGGCTTTTCCCACCTCTCAGGACCCTGCCACCCCCCGGGTGAGCCCGGCCCATTCCCCCCCGGAGAACGGCCTGGACAAAGCCCGCGGGCTGAAGAAGGGCGACGCTCCCAACAGCCCGGCCTCGGTGGCCTCCTCCAGCAGCACTCCCTCCTCCAAGACCAAGGACCTGGGCCACGTACGTCCCCTCTGGGGGTGCCTGGGGCAGGGTGTGGGTCCCAGCAGCTGGAGCTCACCCCTCCTTCTCCATCCCTTCTCCCCCCAGAACGACAAATCCTCCACGCCCGGCCTCAAGTCCAACACTCCGACGCCCAGGAACGACGCTCCCACCCCGGGCACCAGCAGCACCCCGGGGCTGCGGCCCATGCCCGGCAAGCCCAGCGGCATGGACCCCCTGGGTGGGTACCAGTGTCACCACGGTGTCACCAGTGTCCCCAGCACAGCTTCGGCTCGTCCCTGTCCACGGGGAACAGCAGCTCTGGGGGGGGATTGCATTTATGAGGGATTGCATTTATGGGGGATGAGGTTTATGGGGGACCTCATCCAATGGTGTGAGGAGGGAGATCTGGTCATGGAGTGAGCGGTGTTGGGATGAGGGGACACAGCCTCAAGCTGTGCTAGAGGAAGTTCAGGTTGGACATCAGGAGGAATTTCCTCGAGCAAAGGGTGCCCAGGGAGAGGTAGTGGAGACATCATCCCTGGAGGCGTCCAGGGAAGTGGCACTCAGTGCTTTGGGATGGGAGGAAGGTGGTGTTGGACTAGGGGTTGGACTCCTCCATGGTGTTGGGTTTTTCTGTGGCTCTGCTCTGCTCTGCTCCCTGCCCGTGTGTCCCAGCCCTGACTCTGTCCCCGCTCTCCCAGCCTCGGCCCTGCGGACGCCCATCTCCATCGCGGGCTCGTACGCGGCGCCCTTTGCCATGATGGGGCACCACGAGATGAACGGGTCCCTGACGAGCCCCGGCGCCTACGCGGGGCTGCACAACCTCCCCCCGCAGATGAGCGCGGCCGCCGCCGCCGCTGCCGCCTACGGCCGGTCACCAATGGTGAGCTTTGGAGCTGTACGTAGCACTTTTAGCTCCTTTCTCGCTGGGGGGAGGCCTGGGGGGGCTCCTGGGGGCTGGGAGGTTGGGGCTGCTCCTCAGAGCCAGCTGGGCTTTGGAATGAAGGGGTGGGGATGGAGATGGTTCTTCGTGACGTGCATGTGCCACTGGGTTGGGGTTTCTCCTTCCCGTTCCTTGGCCCCTTATCCCATTCCTCAATCCCCTTCCCATTCCTCTCACTGAACTCCTGTTTTAAGGCAGAACAAGGAGTCAAACATTGCCACTGAGGGAGGGATTGGGGTCTCTGCCACTGAGGGAGGGATTGGGGTCTCTGCCACTGAGGGAGGGATTGAGGTCTCTGCCACTGAGGGAGGGATGGGGGTCTCTGCCCTTGGGGTGCCAGGCACAACATGGCTGATCCCGTCCCTAGGGGCTTGGGAACAACACAGGGAGAGGGAGCGTGTCCCACCTGGTTCTTGCAGACCCAAAACCTTTGGCTGGTTCCCCTTCCTGCCAGGGGGAAATGCCAGTTAGCTTTGAGCAGCAGGGGAAAAGCAGGAGCTGCCCAGTGTCCCCAAGGGGTCATGGATGGGAAGCCGTGTGGCATTCCTGGCCTCACCCGTGTCTGTGCATCTCTTGGCAGGTTGGGTTTGACCCTCACCCACCCATGCGAGCCCCAGGCCTGCCCTCCAGCCTGGCATCCATCCCCGGAGGGAAACCGTAAGTCCCGCTTGGATTTTTGTGGGATCGCAGGGGACGAGTGGCCGGGAGGGAGACAAGGGAAGCCTTCCCCCAGGGCTGGCGCTGTGAACACGGCGTGACAGCCCCCAGGAGCTCCATCCCTGGAGCTGAGCCCTGTCCCACCCCGGCAGGGCGTACTCGTTCCACGTGAGCGCGGACGGGCAGATGCAGCCGGTGCCGTTCCCGCACGACGCGCTGGCGGGGCCGGGCATCCCGCGGCACGCGCGGCAGATCAACACGCTGAGCCACGGCGAGGTGGTGTGTGCTGTCACCATCAGCAACCCCACCCGCCACGTCTACACCGGCGGCAAGGGCTGCGTCAAGATCTGGGACATCAGCCAGCCCGGCAGCAAGAGCCCCATCTCACAGCTGGACTGCCTGGTGAGGGCTGGAGCGCCTGTGCTGGGGCTGCTGCTGTCCCCAGGGCTGTGTCGCCTGCCCTCACCCACCTCTGATGCTGTTCATCATCCTCGCCCCGTTAACATCAACATCTCTTCCCCACATTGTCATCTATGTTTCCTCTTTCCCCCGCTGCCCTCCCTTTCTTCTTCCCCCCTTAACACCCTGTTGCTCTTCCCCATTACCAACTCTTTGTCTTCTGTTACTGTCTTATTCCTCTTCCCGTTATCTCTTTCCCCCTTTAAATTTCTCTTTTCCTCTTCTCCCATCAATGTGCCTTTTCCGCTTCTCACCACCAATGTCCCTTTTCCTCTTCTCACCGTCAAATGTCCCTTTTCCTCAAACATCCCTGTTCCTCTTCTCCCCGTCAACGTCCCTTTTCCTCTTCTCCCTATCAACGTCCCTTTTCCTCTTCTCCCTATCAACGTCCCTGTTCCTCTTTCCACACCAACGTCCCTGTTCCTCTTCTCCCCATCAACCTCCCTTTTCCTCTTTCCCCCACCAACATCCCTTTGCCTCTTTCCCCATCAATGTCCCTTCTTCTCCCCATCAACGTCCCTTTTACCCTTCTCCCCCATCAACGTCCCTTTTCCTCTTTCCCTATCAACATCCCTTTTACTCTTCTCCCCCATCAACGTCCCTGTTCCTCTTTTCCCACCCCCTTGCACTCCCTTTCCTCTTCCCTCTCCACATCCCTTTCCCTCTCTCACCCCCATAACCCCCTTCCCCTTCCACCTCCACTGCCCAGTCCCCAGGTGGTCCCTGACGGTCCCGTGTGTCCCCAGAACAGGGATAACTACATCCGCTCCTGCAAGCTGCTGCCGGACGGCCGCACGCTGATCGTGGGGGGCGAGGCCAGCACTCTGACCATCTGGGACCTGGCGTCGCCCACGCCGCGCATCAAGGCCGAGCTGACGTCCTCGGCGCCCGCCTGCTACGCGCTGGCCATCAGCCCCGACGCCAAGGTGTGCTTCTCGTGCTGCAGCGACGGCAACATCGCCGTCTGGGACCTGCACAACCAGACCCTCGTCAGGTGAGCCCCGCGGGGTCCGGCTGCTCGGGGCTCCTGGGCTGGGGAGGACCTTAAAGGTCATTCTGATCCTGTCACGGTCCTTTTTTGTCTTCTGCTGGTGTTCCTTTTCCTCTTCCCCCACAACGTCCCTTTTCCCCCACAATGTCCTTTTTTCTTCTCTTTTTGTCAGTGTTCCTTTACCCCTTTCCCTACGTCCCTTTTCCTCTTCCTTTTGTAAGTTTTACTTTTGTCAGTGTCCCTTTTCCTCTTCTTTTGCCAACATCCCTTTTCTTCTTCCTTCCATCAATGTCTCTTTTCCTCTTCTTTTTGTCAGCGTCCCTTTTCCTCTTCTTTTGTCAGTGTCCCTTTTCCTCTTTCCCTTCCCCATTCCTGCCCATCTCTTTTCCCTTTCCCCCCATCATGGTCCCTTTCCTCTTCCCCCCCCATCGATGTCCCTTTCCTCTTTTCCTTGGGCAAAACACCTTCCACTATCCCAGGTTGCTCCAAGCCCCGTTCAACCCGGCCTTAAACATTCCAGGGATGGGGAGTCCCCCATCCTGTCTGGGCTGGAGCCAGGAACACCCTCTGGTGATGCTGCACCATTTCCTGGTGCTCATCCCTAAACCAGCCCAGTCCTTGGCCAGGCTGGAGCTCCTCATCTCAGGATGCTCCTGGGTGGATTTCCAGGAATATTTAGTGTGGACGAGCCACATGAACATCATCTGAGCACCTTGCACACAGCTCCGTGCCTTTTCTAGCACTCCCCTTGCAGAATTCCATGATTTTTTCCCTGCTCCCAAGGCAATTCCAAGGGCACACAGACGGGGCCAGCTGCATAGACATTTCCCATGATGGTACGAAGCTGTGGACGGGGGGCCTGGACAACACGGTGCGCTCCTGGGACCTGCGGGAAGGGCGGCAGCTGCAGCAGCACGACTTCACCTCCCAGGTGGGCAGGGGAAGGGGACACAGGGGTACAGGGGCAGGGATCCATCCCCACGGGAAACATGGGGTCCTGCTCAGCCCCTGGCTCCTGGGAGGGGCTTTTCCTGCTGGGAAAACAGCCCTGGGAGCTCTGAGCGTGGCTGTTCCCGCTGGTTTCGGGGTGGCCCAGGAGTGCTGGAGCTGCCTGGGTCTTGTGGCAGCTCCTCTTTTCCATCCTTGCAGGATGAGGCTGCTGTTGAGGAAGCAGCTCTTCCCATGGGATGCCTGTGGATGTCACAGGGTTCTCTGGGTGCCCTGGGGGTGGGATGAGAGCAGGGGTCAGGGATCAGGATCCTGCCTCCTCCAGCAGAGCCTGCCAGAGCCCTGATCCAGAGGGGCAGAGCTGGGACCTTGTGTCCCATTGGCAAGGGCAGCAGTATCCATGGGGATGGAGCCATCCCAACCCAGAGATCTGCCTCTCCACACCTGCTCCATCCATCTGGGGCTGCAGCTCCAGCAGTGCCACAGATCCCACAACAGTTGGGTTGGGAGAGGCACCTTGAGGATCTCTCTTCCCACCCTTCCGTAGGGGGCCAGGAATTCCCGCTGATCTCTCCATATCCCACTTCTATCCACAGATCTTCTCCCTGGGATACTGCCCGACGGGCGAGTGGCTGGCGGTGGGCATGGAGAGCAGCAACGTGGAGGTGCTGCACCACACCAAGCCCGACAAGTACCAGCTGCACCTGCACGAGAGCTGCGTGCTCTCCCTCAAATTCGCCTACTGCGGTGAGCAGCAGGGCAGGGGTGGGCACCCTGCAGTCCTGGAGAGGGCTGGGCTGGGAGAGATGGGCACCCTGGAATCCTGGAGTGGGCTGGGTTGGGAGAGATGGGCATCCTGGAATCCTGGAGTGGGCTGGGCTGGGCTGGGTTGGGAGAGACCTTAAAGCTCATCCCTGGGGCACCTTCCACCTGACCCCACCCCAGGACATCCTCATGGATGGGGATTGTGGGATCATGGAATGTTTGGGGTTGGAAGGAACCTTAGATTGGGACTCTGCCCACTGTCCCAGGGTGCTCCAAGCCCCGTTCAGCCTCGCCATGGACACTTCCAGGGGTGGGAGACAGGGATAGCCATGAACTGCAGGAAGGGACAGTGCTCAGTGCAGCTAGGGGGGCTGAGCACGGATGTTTCCTGCAGGATCCAATCCCATGGATGCTGCATTTGGGGTTTATTCCCATAAACCCATCCTGGCTGTGGTGAGGGTTATTCCCATAAACTCATCCTGGTTTTGGCAGTGTTTATTCCCTGGGTTATTCCCATAAACCCATCCTGGCTGTGGTGGGGGTTATTCCCATAAACTCATCCTGGTTTTGTCAGGGTTATTCCCATAAACCCATCCTGGTTTTGGCAGGGTTATTCCCATAAACCCATCCTGGTTTTGGCTGCAAACGGCCACAGAGCACCACTGGAGGTGGGAAGCAGCACTTGGATTGTCCCAGCAGAGTAGGGCTGGACAGGACTCCCCAGGGAACCTCCAGGTTTTCCTGTTTCTCCCAAATCTCTGGGCTCAGACAGGGAAGGGTTGGGGAGGTGGCACCGGCAGGGTTCAGCTGTTGATCCCAAATTCCCAATGCAGGGAAGTGGTTTGTGAGCACTGGGAAGGACAACCTGCTCAACGCCTGGAGGACGCCCTACGGAGCCAGCATCTTCCAGGTGGGAGAGCTTGGGAAGGGCACGGGGTGGGGGCTGCTCCCACATTCCCATTCCCAGTTATCCTGGAGAGAGGGGAGACCCTTCAGGACGGCTGGGTTGGTGTCAGAGGTGGGATGTGGTGCTGACCCCACCATGGATGCTGCGGGGAGCATGGAGCGTCCGTCCCGGCCCACTGGGTTCTGTCCGTCCCGGCCCACTGGGTTCTGTCTGTCCCGGCCCGCTGGTTTCTGTCTGTCCCGGCCCGCTGGGTTCTGTCTGTCTCTCTCCCAGCCTGCTGGGTTCTCTCTCTCCCAGCCTGCTAGGTTCTCTCTGTCCCACCCTGATGAGTTCTGTCTCTCACCTTAATGGGTTTTCTCTCCCACCCTGATGAGTTTTCTCTCCCACCCTGCTGGGTTCTCTCTGTCCCATCCTGATGGGTTTTTGCTCCCACCCTGATGAGTTCTCTCCCCTCCTGCTTTTCCCAGTCCAAGGAGTCCTCGTCCGTGCTGAGCTGTGACATCTCAGCGGATGACAAGTACATCGTCACGGGCTCTGGGGACAAGAAGGCCACAGTCTACGAGGTCATCTACTGATCCTGGGATGTGCAGCCCTCGGGAATGCTCCGGGAATGCCCAGGGGAGGCCCCGGGCCCGGCCCAGCTCCGCCCGGCACCCACCACACTCGGATTTATTTGGAGATCTGCAACTCTGGCACACATGGAAGCCCTAAACGGATTTTTATTTGGTTTTAAGGTTTTGGGGTTCCTTTTGATTTTTTTTTTTTTTTTTTGATTTTTTTTTTTTTTTTGGTTTTCCGGTTCTTTCCGTCTGGCTTTGGTGGCACTATAAAGGACTCCTTTTTTTATTGGGACTTTTTTTTTTGTGCATCCTGCATAAGACTTGTGAAAAATGTAAATACTGGACTAGGAAATAGCGTGGGAAGGGGGGGACCCCTCCCAGTACACTTAGCTGTGTATTTTTGTCTGCTGTAATTGTATTCCACTGATGGTTTTGGTGGTGGCAATTTTATTCTGGGGGTTTTTTTGGTTGTTTTTTTTTTTTTCCCTTTTTTGTTTTTTGGGGTTTTTTTCCCCCTCCTTTTCCTTCCCCCCCCTCCGGAAGTGTCCATGGGGACTTTGCCATCCAGGCTGAGCAGAGATGTCCACTGGTGAAAAGTTGTTCCTCCTGTCGTGCGTCGTGTGTTAGTGATGGTGGGGAATCGCTCGGATCCTCAGCTACTGACGGGACATCAACACAATCACCTTGGGGTTTGTTTTTTATAGATGGATTTATGGATTTATCCTTATTTTTCCTTTTCCGTGCTTGGATGTTTGAAGAAAAGGGGAAGCCCACGCAAGCCCTTCTTGGTCTTCGGACAGAAGCAAATGAGGAGTGATTTCAAAGAAAGCTTAGAAAATTCAGCTCAGGGAGCCACGAAAGATAATAGCAAACTTATGTGTTTTGTATTCAAATGAAAGTAAAGAATTAGAATTGATAACCTTGGAAAAAAAAAAAAGACAAAAAAAAATACAGTTTTTTTTAAAAGCGAAAAGTTTACTAACAAGTAGGGTTTGTGTGTGGTGGGGGGCTGTTTGTGGTCCTTGTGGGCTTTATGGTCTTGTGTCTTCTGGTTTTATGGAGCAACTCCCTCCCCCCACAGGCCTTTTGTACTAAAGGGTTCCAAAAAGGACAAAAAAAAAAAAAAAAGAGACAAAAAAAAGAAAAACGAAGACCTAACGGGAAAAAAATAAAAGTATTTGTGTAGCAGAAGTGCTCACCTGTATCGTAGCACACGGCAGAGGATTTTTATACCACATTTTTATGGATTATTTTTGGCGAGTTGGATCTGGTCCAAAAGGTAAAAAAACAAATGTTTGGGTTTTTTTTTTTTTGTTGAGGGGTTGAGGGGAGATCGGTTTGGAGAGGAGGATGGAAAGGTGGAGCCTGGAACTGCAGCCCTCCCAGGAGCCTCCATCCCATCCCTCTGAGGGCTCCATCCCATCCCTCCCGCTGCTCCCAGGGCGGGCAGAGGAGCTGGGGAGGAGGGGAGAGCTCTCCTGGTGTTCCCAGGGCCATGAGAGGGATCTGAGCTGGGCTGGGGGGAATGTTCCAGGCCAGGGGTGGCTCTGGGGGAGGGTGGGATCGGTTTGGGGCGCTGATGATCCAAGGAGGGAAACGTTCTCTAAAGCTGCTTTTAGGGAAAGGCATTTTAGGGTGGTTTGGCTCAGATCAACCACTGCCCCTGGGGCCGGCAGAGCCTTGGAGGGGGCCAGGGCTGTCCCAGGGGTGTTTTGGGCTCTGTTTTTGGGATCTGAGGGGGCAGCTCTGCTCCCGTCTGCACCCTGACCCTGGGCACGGCATTCCCGGCTCCGTGGCCTTCGGAGCGCCGGCTCTGCAGGGATGGGGCTGTGCTGGGAAGGGCTGGGGGGCTCGTCCCTGTCCCCAGGGCCCCCCTGGCAGTGGGGCCACCCCCAGCTCGTGTCCCTCAGGCTCCCAGGGCCCTGCAGCTCGGCTGCTGGGCTTTTCCCCCCGGAATGGCAGGAGTGAAATGCAGGAATTGCGCGTTCCGGAGCCGCCCGGAGCCAGGCTCTCAACTTCACACCAAAGTATGTAGCAGAATCTGTACAGCTGTTAATAACTACCACTGGTTTTTGTAAAAAAGGGCCAAAAAGAGAAAAAAAAAAAAAAAAAAGAATAAAAAGTCAATGTACTGAAGCTCAACCGCAAGCAAAGTGTCTCTAAACCCGAATTTCACTGAGGGGTGGGAAAGGCAGGAGAAGGGAGGGTTGGGGGACACAGGACAGCCCTGACAGGGACCCCCGAGTTTGGGAGTGATGCTGGAGGTGGGATGGAGCCCAGGATCGATGGGAGCAATTCCCAGCCCTCCCCTGAGCTGTGCTGCCGAGGGCTGGGCTCCTCCGGGGCATCCCAAACCCCTTCCCTCCCTTTCAGCACCCTGGCGCTTCGCTCCTGCCGGGATTCGGGGGTGCAGGAGAGGGCTGGGGCCAGGGCATCCTGCCCCGGGCAGTGCCCATCGGCTGCTCCCAGGGCCCGGGATTGCAGCAGCGCCATTCCCAGCGGCATTCCCGAGCTCCCGGCCCCGCACCCTGCTGCACACAAAGCCCTTCCCTGAGCGGGGCCAGCTGGAGCGTCCAGCGGGGCTCCGTGATGGATCCGAGGCGACAGGACCTGCTGCGAGGGAGGCAGGGAGGGATGGAGGGATGGAGGCAGGAGCAGCGCGCTGCCCGCCCCGCTAATGGGCAGGCAAGTGCTCGGGAGTGCATTTCCATCCCCTCGGAGGCTGGGGCTGGCACGGGGACCATTAAAAGGTCGGAATGGCAAGGAATCCTTTGTTGGGAGATGGGGAGAGCCCGGGCAGGGGAGGGGAAGGGACCCCGAGTGGCTCTGGCTGCGCTTCCAGCCCTGGGGCTCCCTTCCCTCCCCAGCTGCCCTCAGGGCTCCATGGGGGTGGATTCTGCTTTTCCCAATGCTGGGGAGGAGCTGCTGGGCTCTCCCATTCCCATTTGTGCTGTCAGATTTTATAATTCAGTTATTCCCCCCGCCACCGCTGCCATGCTGGAATTTTAAATTATAAATCCATGAGGGCTTTTTAAAGGTGCTCTCAGGTCAGGCTTGGCCCACGCTGCCAGAAAGGCAGAGCTGGAAATGGCCAGAAAAGCGAGTGGGAATGGATTCCCCAGGATCCTGAGGATGTGCAGGTGGAGGCAGGCAGGGATTTGGTCCTGGAGTATCAAAGCTGCTTTTCCCAGGCTGGGGCTGTGTCCCTGAAGGGGAGCACTGGGAAAGGGGTTGGGGGCAGCAGAGCCGTGCTGGGCCACGCCACATTCTGTGTCCCATGCCATGTTCTGTGTCCCATGCCATGTTCTGTGTCCGTGCTACGTTCCATGTCCTGTGTCACATTCCGTGTCCCGTGCCATGTTCTGCATCCCGTGCCGTGTTCTGCATCCCATGCCATGTTCTGTGTTCCATTCCATGTTCTTTGTCCCATGCCATGTTCTGTGTGCCATGCCATGTTCCATGTTTCATGCCACATTCTGTGTCCCATTCCATGCCCTTGTGTCCCGTGCCACGTTCTGTGTCCCAATCCAGGTTCTGTGTCCCGTGCCACGTTCCGTGTCCCGTGCCATGCTGTGTGTCCCATGCCATGCTGTGTGTCCCGTGCCATGTTCTGTGTCCCGTGCCACGTTCCGTGTCCCATGCCATGTTGTGTGTCCCGTGCCATGTTGTGTGTCCCATGCCATGTCTTGTGTCCTGTGCCATCCCCAGCCCAGCAGCAAGGCAGAGCACACACTCAGCTGTGCCCAGGCACCTCCACACAATCTGCCCACCAGGGAATCCGGGATAACGGGATCCCCTTCCCACCCCTTCCATCCCTTTCCCCTCCCTCCCCAGCCCCGTTTCCCGGGTGCCACCCCCGGCTTGGGGACAGATGGTGGCGGCTCTCGGGGACACCCTCAGCTGCTGCCGCCGCCTCCGAGCGCGGATTCTGCTGGCACCGCTCCCTTGGGCGGCTCTGCCTCTGCAGCGCAGCAGTTTTAATTACAGTAATTGAGCCATAATGAACGATTGTGCGGGGCCGCGGCGCTTTGTTCGGGCTCCGGGGGTGGCATCGCCCCGGCCGCGCCTGCCCTCCCATCCTCATCGTGCTCCTCTTCCCGGAGCTGGGGCTTCCCGGGATCCCGCTGGAAAACGGCAGGGACGGCTCAAAACCCCTTTGGCTTAATCCGAAACAAAAACAGAAAAATATCAACAAGCAGAGCCGAGGCGGAAAGCAAAACAGCCCGGCAGGAAAAATCCCAGCCCTGCTGGAAAAATCCGCCCTGGGGCTGGCACCGGGGGGCTGGTGGCACTGGGGACAAGGGACAGGACATGGGGAACAGCTTCCCACTCCAGAGGGCAGGGATGGATGGGATTTTGAGAAAGAATTGTTCCCTGGGAGGGTGACAGGCTGGGATGGGATTCCCAGAGCAGCCGTGGCTGCCCCTGGATCCCTGGCAGTGCCCAAGGAACACCCTGGGACAGTGGGAGGTGTCCCTGCCATGGGCCTGCATGTCCCTCCATGTCCCTTCCAACCCAAACCATTCCAGGATTCCATGATCCACCCACCAAAACCCCCCCCTTTTCCCTGGATTCCTGTCCCTGGCATTGCCACTCCTGTCCCCAGGGCTGTCCCCTGACATTCCAGGCTCCTGTCCCATGGCCCACCTTGCTCAGGATGTTTGGATTTGCCCTAAATCCTCTCTGTCCCCACCGATGTGGGATGGGCCTCCCTCATCCTGCCGAGCCTGGAGCATCCCAGGTTTCTGCCTGGCATTGCCCATCCAGGGTTTGGGAATGCTGGGAGGATCAGGATGGGTTTGGGGGCACCTCTTGAAGAGCCCCAGGTGCAGCCCCGCTCTCACCCCTGGGGGATTTTGGGGTTTTTTGGCTTTTCTGGGCAACAATAAAAACTTTCATTGGAGCAGAACCTCGGCTGGCCAAGAGGAGCCTCGTTAATTCCAGGGAATTGTTTCATCTCGGCTCAACAGGAATAATGAATCTTTTTTTTTTTTTTACTATTATTTTTTTTTTTTTTTTACAAGATGAATTGGTGAGCAGCCAACTTCCTCCGGGGGAATTCCTGGGGAGTGTTGATCCCAGCTGGAATTTACCTCAGGGCGGGGGGGGGAAAAAAATATTAAAAAAAGGAGAAAAAGAGAGGGGAAAAAAAATAAAAAGAGAAGGTTTTAAAGGCTCAAATGCTGCTATTCATAACAACGTGTGATTGAGCTCAGCCTTTTCCTGACAGCTCCCAGATGGAGCCAAGGCTTTTCCACAACACCCTCACACAACACTTCCCTCCAGAGCCAGCTCCAGCCCCAAACAAAAACTGGGAGCGCACAGAGGCCTCGTTGTCCTCGGGAAAGCCACAGAGCCCCAGAGGCTGCAGGGACCCCCCTGAGCTGGGAAACCCAGCCCAGGGCTGGGGGTGCCTCAGCACCAGGGTGTCCCCAGGGCTTTGGGGTGTCCCCAGGGCTGAGAAGTTCACTGTTAATCAAAAAGATAAAAAACGGCGTTAAAGCGCTGCTGGGGCAGCTGGGCCTTAATGAGATCTGGGAGATTTTTTTGATTTAATAAAACTCTGTGCGTTTCCAGGCCGGGAGAGCACCCAGAGGGCTCCCGGCTGCAGGGGCTGGTGGCGCTTGGCTGGCACCGTGTCCCCTCTGCTTCCCCTGGCACGTGCAGGGACGGACATGGAATATTCCAGCAAAGGGCCAGGACCCAAGGGAGCAGCAGATCCATGGGTTTGGGGAGGCTGGGAATGCAGGCTGGAAGGGCAGAGCTTCCCGGCACGGCATTCCCAGCACAGCATTCCCAGTATGGCATTCCTGGCACGGAATTCCCAGTATGGCATTCCCAGTATGGCATTCCCAGTACGGCATTCCCAATACGGCATTCCCGGTATGGCATTCCCGGCATGGCATTCCCTTCCCAGCATGGCATTGCTGGTATGGCATTCCCGGTATGGCATTCCTGGCACGGCATTCCCAGTATGGCATTCCCGGTATGGAATTCCTGGCACAGCATTCCCAGCATGGCATTCCTGGCACATCATTCCCAGTACGGAATTCCCGGTACGGCATTCCCGGCACGGCATTCCCGGCATGGCATTCCCGGCACAGCATTCCTGGCACAGAATTCCCAGCATGGCATTCCTGGTATGGAATTCCCGGCACGGCATTCCCGGCACGGCATTCCCGGTACGGCATTCCCGGTATGGCATTCCTGGTATGGCATTCCCAGCACAGCATTCCCGGTATGGCATTCCCGGTACGGAATTCCCGGTACGGCATTCCCGGTATGGCATTCC